TTTGGCCTAAGGCAGAGCCTGGCTCCATATTACCATCAGCAGCTGGGACTTCAGGCTTGTACATTTCAGACCTTCAGTCTCTGACTCCACCAGACTTGAGAGACATTTGTGGGTGGATTTGACTTGTCCTGTAGAAATCAGCTTTCAAATGCTATTAGGATAGATGAACAGTGTCAGCAGAGACACACTGGATTACTGCTGGTCATTTGCAGAGTATCAGGTGATGGAGACACACCCCCTACAGGGTTGTCCCAAAGCCCCAACTGTACCTATTACCAGCATCAGTCTTACTGTGTGAATCCATGCAAGTAACATAACAGTTGAGGTGAGGAAGTACTCTGCCACAGAGTGTAAGGACCTCTGGAGCTGCCATTGTCCCTCAACAATATTATTTTTTTTTACCTGTTAGAAGGTTTATGTTCATGTCAGGTCAGGTGGGAACCAGTTCCTCATTAGGTCATGGCAAGACAGAATAAAATATCTATTAAAAAACAATTTGTGCTTATGTAAAACCATTTGGCAGTAGCTAAAGCTGAGCCTACAGACATTGAGCAAATAATTTCTCTTCCAAATACAGATGCCCAATAGATATAAATGCACGCATCCATCAAAGAGCAGGCATGGGAGGGTTCATGGGAAGGCTACCCAGACATCCATCAACAGTGGAAATGACAGTGCTGGTTGTGTAGGATGCTTGCCTAGCATGCACAAGTTTCTGGGTTCGATCCCCAGCACAGAAAACAACAAAGAAAAAGAAAGATAAATGTGTACCACAATACCATACATCAGAAAGACTGGGAAAACTAGCTTCACACAAGACACTGGTTTTATACTTCTGTGAAACAAATGGCCACAGATTTAGTAGCCAGAACAGCATGCACATAAAGCTCCCAGTTGTGTAGCTGGGGTTTCTCTTTGGAAGTGACTCTAAGATTAAAGTCAAGGTAAGGGCAGCTGAAGTTAAGACCCTCCGAAAAGCTCCTTCAGGTTGTTGGTATAATTCAGGGCCTTTAAAAAAATATTTTATTATTATTTTTACGTGTATGCATATATTGCCTGCATGTAGGTAAGTGCACCCGTGTCATGCCGTGCTCTCAGAGAACAGAAGAGACTGTTGGAGGCCCTGGAACTGGAGTTACCGACAGCTGTTAGCTGCCATGTGGGTGCTGGGATTCGAATCTGGGTCTTCTGCAAGAACTATCAGTGTTCTTAACTGCTGAGCCATCTCTCCAGCCCCCAGGGCCTTTTTTTGATTGCCCGCTATCAGCCAGAAGCCAATCTGCTCCAAGATGACATCTGAATCCTCTACTAGGAGGTCTCCTGTGTCCTCAAAGTCAACAGTGAAGAGCGCTGGAATCACTCCCTCTCATGCTCCTAATGCTCCACCGGAGGAGCCAGTTCCTTTAAGGATTTGTGTCATTGGGCCGACAGACAGCAACCTCCTGATCAAATGCCATCTGATTTCAGCCTAATCACATTTACAAACCGTCTGCCCAGCAGCACCTAGGTTAACATTCAACTGAATGATGGGGTAAAAGTGTGTACACAAGAGAGTGTGCCTATCACACACAATGTCATGGATAGACCTCACAGCCAATACTGAACCAAAGAAGTCACAAAAGAATATTCCATTACAGAAAATATATGAACAGGAAGTACATTATTCTTTGGTGTTAAGAAGTCAGAGACCAGCCTATGAGATGTCTCAGTGGGTGCAAACCTGATGACCTGGATTTGAGTCTCAGAATTCTCAGTAATGGACTCCTGGAAATTGTCCTCTGACCTTCACAGGAGTCCCATGGTGCCCCCTTCCCTCCCTTTCTACCCCTCTCTCCCTCACCACCACCAATCACTGCTACTATTGCTATTATTACTAAATAATAATGACAAAAGAAAAAGTCAAAAAAAAAAAAAAAAAAAAAAAAAAAAAAAAAAAAAAAAAAAAACCCAACCATGGTTTTTTTTTTTTTTTTTTTTTTTTTGTCTTTTTGAGACAGGGTCTCCCTGTAGACCAAGCTGGCCTGGAACTCACAGAGATCCTTCTGCCTCTGCCTCCCAAGTGCTGGGATTAAAGATGTGAGCCACCATCCCATGGTTACTTTTGTACAGTAACTACATTACTATAAACAAATGTGAGGAGGTCCTAGGGGGGTGGTGAGGATTTCTTTCCTGATCCATATTCTGGTCACATTAGTGTGCTCAGCTTGGGAAAACTCAGTGAGCTATATGTTTATGACTCATGTGCTCTTTTATAAACACATTATTCTGCAATTAAATGGTTCTTATGATAATTTGGATTTATTACTTTAAAATTAATTTGCTTTCTTTCTCCAAGAAAGTGTGTATTTAAAGACAATTCTCAGAATGGTGCCCAATGGGGAGGGAGGACAAGCAGGACTAGGAAGGAAGCTCCATGGCTAGAGCCACCTCATTTTAAAGTGCCTCCATGGTTGAATGTTGACAGTTCCTGAAACCAATTTGGTTTCCAGAACTAAAGTATCTTGTATCTCCAAATTTATGTCCATCCTGCCCTACTGTCCCCAATAAGGGATGCTTGGAGGCATGTGTATCAATCACGTGACATTCTTTAAGTCACCACTCTCTGACCATCCATAATATTGGCCAACCATGGACCAAAAGAGGGAAACTTTTTGACTTCCCTTTTCTGCTTTATAACTACTCCAACAGATAAGCAGATGATAAGCTCTGGTTCCTAGACTAGAGACTCCTCCAGAGTCTGACTAAAAACCTGCATTGTCACTGGGTGGTTCACTCCATGATCTATCCAGAAGGAAAAAATTATATGAAGACACAGTGTAACCAGTTCCACACATCAGAGCTGGCTTGGCTCAGTGAGAATTCCTACTCTGTGAGCCTGGGATCTGCTTATTGAACCTGCTACATTGTGGAGGACCCAATGTAAAGAGACATGCAGGCCCCTCCCTTTAAAAATCTGAAGATAGGGGCTGGAGAGATGGGTCGGCGGTTAAGAACACTGGTTGCTCTTGCAGAAGACCCGGGTTCGAATCCCAGCACCCACATGGCAGCTAACAACTGTCGGTAACTCCAGTCCCAGGGGATCCAACAGCCTCTTCTGACCTCTGCGGGTATTGCTCGTGGGCAATACATGCATACACATAAAATAAAAAATAAAATTGGCCTGGCATAGTGGCACACGCTTTTAATCTCAGCACTCGGGAGGCAGAGGCAGGCAGATCTCTGTGCGTTCAAGGCCAGCCTGGTCTACATAGTGAGTTCCACGACAGCTGGGGCTATAAATAAATAAATAAATAAATAAATAATAAAATTAAAAAAAATCTGAAGATAGTTGAGCATGTGGCACACACCTTTGATTCCAGCTATCAGGAGGTCGAGGCAGGAGGAAGTTGGAGGCCAGCCTGCGCTACAGAGCAAGACTCTATGATGAAAAGAAAAAAAAATTGAAGATAGCAATAGTAGAATGCTAAGCCAGCCGTGGCAGTGTTGGGCACAGTGTTGGGTACACTGAACAGGCTCCTGTGAGTGGTGAGTATGCAGCACTCCCTGCCGCAGCATGGACTGGAAATCTCATGTCTAAAGACTTCTTGTTAGGTGAGGAGCTTTGGTTAACTTGCATTTTGGTCCATACAACTGCAGAGCATATGAGAGGCTAGAGGGTGAAGATTCATTAGCACACATGAGAACAATCATCGTTTGATGTGTCAAACATCAGTGAAAAGGATATTCTAATGATAAGCCCTCCAGCTGTCAGGGTTAACCTGCAAATTGGTTTATAAGCCTACCTATAGATAGGTATGTTGGGTAGAAAAATACACACACACACAAAAATCCCTCAAAGATAGTACTTCGTACTTCAGCCCTGTGAATGAACACACAACTTCTAATTATATATGGAGCCCAAATCGTAGAATCGTGGCCTGCATTCCTTGGTCGTTCCAGTTTAAAGAGGAAAATACCAAATTCCAAGGTTGTGGGGACTGGAATCTGGGCATTTTCCACAAAGCTTTTTTTTCTTGCTGAGATTGGAGTTGGGGTCAAGTTCCAGGAGCAAAGCAGGTTCGACTAGAACCTCTGGCATGTCTGGAAGCAATCAGCCGGTTTTAGTAGCAAATGCTCTGGCACCTGAGACTCCCTGGAGCTGGGAGCCTGTGCCTGTCAGGATGGACTGTCTTCCGGGAGGAGGAGCTAGGAATGGGGTAGGGTGGTATTTCGGGGTAATGACTTCTGAGGAAGCGCGACCTTCACGTTGCATCTCTGTGATTATTTTCCCTGGCATTCACTGAAGCGCAGAGTGCTGGCTTCCGGATGTAGTGACTTATGAAGCTTTTGAGGACAGTGATACCCGAAGGCGGCCGGCTGCCTGACCTACGGTCTACGAATAGTTCCAAGGATGAGACAAAGTCCCAGTGTCTGGGTGACAATAGAGTCTTTGATGGAAGGCCTCAAGTTACGAGCCAGCCGGTTGGAGAGTCTTGTGGCGGGGGCGGGCAGCCCGGGACTCGCGGCCCAGCAGGAGTGGGGCGCGGGGAGAGGGCAGCCCCTCCAGCCATTAGCATGCGGGAGCCGCGCGCGCCGTCCTTGAAGGCCGCCCGGCTGACCTTGCTCCGTTTTCTCGGCGGATTCTCCAGCGGCGCGCGAGGACGCGGCAGCGGTGGTGACTCAGTGCCCTGCGCACCGCATGCAAATGCAGGTCTCCCTCCAGCCGGGCTCCGTGCCTCCCCCGAACCCCATGATTCAAGCGTGGCGTCTTCCGTCGCGCCCCTTCTCCTCCACCGCCGGCCTAGGCTTCGCCCCCTCGTCCCCTCCGCAGCACGGCAGACCACGCTTCGCACTCCGGCTGTGGGCACCCGCCTCGGACTCGGCGAGCTCCGCGCCTGCGATCTCCCGGGCCGCCCGGAGAGGGCGCTGCGCAGCGCCGAGCCTCGGGCCCGGCCTACCCCGCCAGGCTCCCCATTGGCCGCCGCCTGGGCGGGAGGGCCGCCCCGCTCTGCACCTGCCGTCGCCCCTAGGCGGGTGGATCGGCGGCTCCGGCTCTGGGAGGCAGCGTGGCCGAGCGCAGGCCTGGGGATCCGCGGACCTCCGCGGTCCTGTCACCGCCCTGGGCCCTAGCTGCGCCCGTGGGAAACTTTGCCCCGCGAAGTCCTCGGCCTGCCTGGCCGCACTGTGAGAGTCCGCCGTGCGCCCCTTGGGGCCCCGAACCCCTCTAGTGATTGCCGCGCCACCCCGCACCCAGCATCCGCGGCGCCGGGCCGCCAGGATGCGCTACGCAGACCCCTCGGCCAACCGGGATTTGTTGGGAAATCGAACTTTGCTCTTCATCTTCATCTGCGCCTTCGCCTTGGTGACCTTGCTGCAACAGATCCTGTACAGCAGGAGCTACATCAGGAGGTGAGAAGGTCTGAGCCGGAGGGTTGCGCGCAGCCTTGGGGTGGCCGCCGCGCGGCGGGAGGCGCCGGGAGCTGGTGACCCGGGTCTGCCCTGAGCCCCAGCACCTCCACCCTAGGCTCGGGCCGTGGTGCTCCGAGAACATCCTTGCTGAGGGCGGAGGACAGCGCCAGCTCTGCGCGGATTTCGGCGGGGGTGTGTGGGGGGTGGCAACTTAGTTCTGCTGTGAACATGGGCAGCAGTTGAGTTGACCATGAATCCTTGTACATGCCCAGAGCCCCGCTGTTTCCCACACCTACATTTCCCTAGCCATTTGGCTGCGGCCAGAAGGTGGAAGGCTAAAAATCAGGGTTTGTTTTTGTTTTTCAAATCTGGCAAGTCCTAAATTTTTGTAGGGGATCTTGGGGATGAAAGTATTTTTCTCCTAGGAACACCCGATCAGGTGGGGTGGTAAGTGATCTGTGGCAATACATAGGAACAGTGAATTCTTGTTATCACACAATCACTAGATCTGAGTCACAACCTGAGCCCTTCCAAAGTAGATGGTTCTTCCCTATCTTTAGCACCAAAGGTCAGAGCTACAGCAGAAGTTGAACTCTTCTTTCACCTTATCCCCAAGCAAGGCCAGACTCCTTGAAGAGAAAGGGTAGATGTTGCTCTGAAACACTGTCTCTGTGGAAGGTACACTGACATGTCACCCTCCTCTTTCAGCAGTTTAGTGGAGCCCCTGGGGCCTACTGCCTGGTTGGGGGTGGGGGCTCTGCTGCAGGTGCTCCCATGCTAGAGTCCCTGGTGGAGAGAGCTCCTCTCTCTCTATTGGGGACTCCTCCTTCACCATCAGTGACTCCCCAACCTCACTGCCTTCTGCCCAAATGGATAGGAAGGAAATGTCTCTGTCTACACAAGCACCCTATCTTCTCTAATTGTCTGAATAATAGAACAGCTGTTCTTTTCCCACTCTTGGGTCTTCATGTGTTCCCAGTCTGCATTGCCCAGAGTGGTAGGGTGAGGGTTGCCCCTGATGATCTTGCTCCCAGCAGGAAAGCTAAACCGTTTTGGACTGTCTGTTCCTTGCTTGTAAATCTCCCCCAAGCTGGGAACTATGTAGCCCTTTGTCCCAAACATTCGTTTCTAGCCAGTCACCTTTCCAGACTTTTTCCCAGACAGCCTTCTTCCCTGTTTTGCACCAACTCATATGTTCTATGTGGCTTTAAAAACACTTTCCAGTGTCTAGCTTGCTGGATTTGACTGGGGGCATCTGCTTTTTTTTTTTTTTTTTTTTTTTTATTTTTTAACCCTCGCCCTTTGGAGGGATCCGGAACTTTTTCGGTTCTTGCCACCCGTTCGGCGGGGCACCCCCCGTTTTTGGGGTTTCTGCCCTCCCTGGCCTCCCTGCGCGTGGTGCTCTCTGAGATGATCCTGAACCTTGTAGGGTCTTGGCACCTGCTCAGTGGAGCAACTCCTGGTTTCTGGGTTTCTGCCCTCCCTGGCATCCCTGAGGCTGGTAGGGCTCCTTCTCATGGACAGGAGAGAAGGCATCAGTGCCAGGGCAGGTGCCAACCACACAATTAACTGCTAGTTCTGGCAAGTCCTGCATGAGTTTGGATGGATGGGCTGAGAGTCCAGCAGGTACACCAGTAATTTTCCATTCTCTATCCCTCAGAGACCCTGACCCCCTTACAGGCTTCACTTCAGGAATTCATCTTAATCCAACCAAACAATCAAAACTGGTGTATGTTTCATCCTAAAAGAGAACCAAAGAGAAGGTGCTATAGAGAAGCGAGTGATATGGTCCAGGTCCTCAATGAGGTTGAAGTCTATTTCAGGAAACAGATGGCCACACATAGATGACAAGTGAAAGGCTGGGAAGAAAGACTGATGGGCTAGTTGGGGAAGACTGCTTGGGGGAGGTGTAATTCTAGTAGGCCTTATAGGGGATAGAACATGCTCATCTACAACTGAGGGGAGCAGGAACAGAGCCCCTCTCATCTCTCCCACATCTGATCCCACCTGCCCTGCTATGCTTGGCTCCATTTCTAGTCTGTCATCAGTCTTCCCTAGTCCTGTGGATTGTGGCTGACTCATCAGTTGCATCTACTGTACTTGCTTACCTTTCCTCTTTCCTCACACATCATAGTTGCTATGAACAAGGACCAGGGGAGTGTAGGTTTGTGTCCATCTGGAAACAAGCAAAAGGACTACACTGGAATTCCCTGGGAAGGCTGCTGAGATGCAGGTCCCTGCGCCCTTGGATTGAACTCTCTTCTAGGCTGTGATCTGGAAACCTGCTTCTCTAGAAGTTTCCCTAAGGAACCTGTAGCAAGCCCCCACCATTCTCTAAATCAGGAGGTTTCAGTCAGGACAATTTGCCCTTAGCCATTTGAGTGGACACATTTTTGGTTGCAATAAGAGGAGAGGAGATGCTACTGGTGTCCGGGGGCGTCGGGGGGTGGAGATGCTGAAAAGATCCTCAGGGACCAGGCTGCCTGCCACAAAGTACCAGGTCCAAATGTCAGTGGTGGTGAGGCTGAAAATTGCCCTGGGCTGGAAGCTGTGAGGTAGGGATCATGGCTTGCTTTAGGTTGCACCCTGAGTGCCACATATGTGTTTGGCACATATTAAGTCATTAACAAATATAGATAATGAACAAATGATTGAAGATGGGGGTAGGTGGGGGGGTTTAGTCATGGAAGGGACACAGTGAAGAGATGGATCCCATGGTGTAAGGAGGGATGTTGGGAAGTGGCAGGCTTTGAGGATTGTCAAGTTTGAGCTTGGCTTCTTAGGCCATGGGGCACCACATGTGGTCCTTGAGTAGGGAAGTGACTTGATAAGAGCTCCTAGGAAAGAAGGTTATTGGGGTATTATACAGGAAGACTTAAAGAAGAAGAGAGGCTGGGGCATTGTCACAGCCTAATCAAAAGTGAGAACATGGCTCAGGGGATTCCTGAAGACCACCTTAGATGTGCAAGGATGGCAGGCTCTTCCAGTGATGTTAGGTAAGATTACTACAGAAGGAAATGAGGGATGTGAGTTGATACTTTTTTATTATTTATTTAATTTATTTTGTGCTCTTGGCTTTTCGTTGGACTGTGCAGTGGGTCCTTCTCACACAATTCATCCTGATCAGCTAAAATTTTAGGGATTCACTTTGGTCAGGAAGGGACTAGGGGAACAGGGCCTAGGGGCTCCATGTCTGCTGGAGAAAGAACGTACACTATGTGTCTAGGGAAGAAACGACAAGAGCAAAGCTATAATGTTCGCCCCTGGTGTTTTTGGCTTCCTATATCTTATTGAGACTTAGCAGAGATTTTCTATACAGAGTAGCACCACAAGCACTGAGGATATAGTGTGTGCAAAGCCCCAGATCCTGACCAGGGGAGCTCCTGGGCTATGGGGAAGATAGAAAAGCAGGCATGTAGGAATGGGCAGGGGACCATAAGGGTGAGGAGGAATTGCTTCAGGCTCGTAGAGACATCTGAAGGGGCCTTAAAGAAGGAATGATCCTTAGATGCAGGTAGAGGTGGGAGGAAGGGGAAAAGCCCAGCACAAGGAAGGAATGAAGGGGGTGGGGGTGGGGACAGGGGGTGTGGACTGAGCAGTCTTCATTCCGCTTAGCAAAGTATTAGAGCTGCATTGCACAGCTTGGTGAGGCAGGCGGAGTGTGGAGAACAAAGAGGAACATGTGTGAGAAGGAACATGTTGGGAGCTTGAGTCTGCATGTGCTTGGACACAGAAGGTTATTGATCCATCTGGAACCAACCAGCAACTCTTCGGAATTGAACTCTGGAACTCCATGTGGGGAACAGCCAGACTAGCAATGAAGACTTTCGAATTGCCAGCCATCAGAATCAGTGTTTTCTGAACTTTCGTGATTGTGATGCAGAGTAGGAAATATGTTATATTTGAAGATCAGGAAACATTTTGTGAAATAATATTTGGCTTCACTATGAGAAATGTGCTCTAATATTTTCTATTCAATGTTATTAAAAATACTTTCTAGGACTGGAGATGTAGCTTAGTCATAATAGTATACTTTCCTAGCATGCATGAGGCCCTGGATTCAATCCCCAGCACTAGAAAAAATAGGCATCCACTTTTCTATTTCATTAAAAAATATAATGGAAACTGGGCACAGTAACACACATCTTTAGTCCCAGCACTTGGGAAACAAAGGCAGGCGGAGCTCTGTGTGTTTGAGGCTAGCCTGGTCTGCATAGTGAGTTCCAGGCCAGACAAGGTTATATGGGGAGACTCTGTCTATAATATATATATAATGTGTGTGTAATGGAATATTATTCAGTCTTGAAAAGAAGGAAATTTTAACAAGCTATAACATGGATTCATCTTGAAGTTATTACGCTAAATGAAATGAGTCAGGCACGATGGACATGCACTGTATGGTTCCACTTTGATGAGGTTCTTGGATGTGCTAGATAGCTTTAGTGTCAACTTGATACACCTGGGTTGAGGGGGCCTCAATTGGGGAATTGCCTCCATTGGACTGGCCTGTGGCCATGTCTGTGGGGCATCTTCTTGATTATTGAGTGATGTGGGTGGTGCCACCCCTGGGCAGGTGGGCCTGTGTTGTATAAGTAAGCAGGCTGAGCATGGGTCAAGAGAGCAAGCCAGTAAGCAGCGTTCCTCCATGGCCTGTGCTCCAGCTCCTGCCTCCAGGTTCCTGCCTTGAGTTCCTACCTTGGGCTCCCTTATGAACTATGACCCAGGAGATATAAGCCAAATAAATCCTTTCCTCCTCATGTTGGCAGTGGTCAGAGTGTTTTGTCACAGCAATGGAGAAACAAACTAGGACACTGGAGCTGTCAAACTTGTAGAGACAGAAAGTAGCAAGGTGGTTGTCAGAGGCTGTGAGGGGGATGGGGTGTAATTCATCTTTGTCATGGTTAAAGAATTTCATATGGAGAATGAAAAAGTCTTAAAAATGGTGGTGGGGATGGTTACATGACAAAGTGGGTGAAGTTAAGGCTGTACACTCACAAAGG